TTAGAGTGTAAGATTAATTATGTATTTTTTTTACATAATAAAAGTAATGTCCAGAGATTGCCTCCGAACGGTACTCAAATGCCAAAACACTCCTTATCTAGGTATTCATCACATTGGGAGCTGAAAATATTCAGCTTTTATTCCATACAAGTCGTGCTGGAAAAAACAACTGAAAAATCGATTATTATCGATAAAAAGGAGTGGATTGATTTATTGAATTAAAGCCAGGCTACATTTGGCATATAAGTTGAGAAGCTTCTCTAAGGCTCTATAGTTCGTGAGATTAGTGCGTTTTTATGGACGAAGAAAATGTCTGCCACGCCTACTTTATCCTATCTGTAGGATTTTCAGAAAAGAATTATACCTTCGACTTTCACTTACAATGGGTTCAGGGTAGCATAAATTGAAATTCTCGTATTTGCTATGATCAAATGAATAGAATATATCATTTTTAGCTTTATTTATAGCCTGATTAAATAAAGCTGATTTTGGAATTGGAATTAGCTTTAGAACTAACTCGTAAATAAAAGATCGTTAATTATTTCAAGTTTCTTCAACACGAAGAGGACTATAAATATACATATGCTATATAGTTTTCACTGATCTATGGAATAATTCCGAAATTGACGAAAATGTAGTATAAACCGTTTTTCCCAACCTACCACGCCCCAGAAGAATGGAAATCTATAGACTTGATGATTTAGTATATATTAGAAGGTATATAGCAATTCCATATATATAGATTTCAACTCTCTACATTGTTAGCAATATACTCTTTTCAATGGGCGAACGAGTGTTATGAATGATAATAATGCCGATTATAATGGAAAATTCTCTGAATTCAGCTCGCTACGAAGGGATTACAATTAAAAACTTATAAACAAATTTAAATCAAAGCGCAGACGGGGCCTTCGTTATCACTCTGCCCCTTCGTTATCACTCTTCCCCCCCTTTTTTATGAAAGCTGTTTGCAGCAGTCAACAGAAGCAAAGCAGATTGCATTAATGCGAATGATTCTGTTTGAATCGAGTGGGTGGAGAGCAAAAGGGAAACAAAGGAAATCGTTGAATGAAAGATGAATTTCCTCGCTTAAAGGAATCGCAGTGCAGAGTTTAGCTTTTATATCTTTCATTTGTCAGTTAGTTGTCAGTCCATCCATCAATCAGTCAGCCAATCAGCTACTGAATTAGCTAGGTAATCAATCAGACAGCCAAAGCTCCATCAGCCAACTGTGTAGCCCATCAGGCAGTGGATTATTCAAGCAGTTAACGCTGTCAATCAATCAGAAATTTAATGCATTGATTCAACAATCAGTCAATCAGTTACTTTCATCAATCAGTCAATCGATTGCTCAGTCATTAGTCAGCCCATAGTCGATATATATAGACTGCAATGAATAAACAAATAATATACTCAATCAATCAATTAATTATGMACTCAGTCAGTCAATCTGTCTCAGAATTAAATAGTTCTAGTTCGACAGTCGAGTGATCAGGTGCTCAAACAGTCGTCCAGTCAGTCAGTCCATCAGTAGATATATTAAGCTACCAATAAGTCAGCTAAATAGTTATTCTAATGAGGTTTTCAGTCAAACAATCAATCAGTTATTCACTCAATCTATACATCCATCAATTGTACACCCAGCCAGTCCATTAAATAGATCTATCAATTGTTATATTGAGCAGACAATTAGTCAGCTGAAAAGTATCTTTACCAGTGGGCCAGTCAATCAATCAATTATTCACTCAGCCAGTCAGTCTATTAGGGAATTGATGGATCAGTCAGTCCATCAGTTGATAGATTAAACTAACAATTAGTCAGGTCAACAGTATCCTAATCAGTTGGCCAGTCAATCAAATAAAATATTTATTCACTCACTCAATCAATCAATCAATTATGCAGTCAATCTGTTAATCTAAGCATTACATTTTTAGATCTAGTTAGGCAATCGCTATCGACTATATCAGTCAGATCATCATCAGTCCAACAAGTAGTCCGTCAGGCACTAGGCCAGTCAATCAATCAATCCATTAAGCACTCGGCCTGTCAATCTGAGAGTCAATTATCTACATGCGCTCTATTCATTCTGGCCATCAATCACTCGTTAAATCAATCAGCTAGCCAGTTAGTCAATCGTCAGTTTGTCACTCTATATACATATGCATATCATATCATATATATATGCATATGCATATATATGCATATGCATGTATATGTATATGAATCTGAGCATTGCAGGTACTACATGTGTATTGAGTGGACGGAGCACAGTTGCCATGCAGAGAGCACTTTACGGGCAAAATGCGCAGAGTAATTTCGCCACCCTGTGCGACACCCTGTGCGAGTGGGGGAGGGGGAGGGGGTAGTGGGGTAGGAGGTGGAGCACTTCAGCTGGCATCAATCTGAGCACAAGAGCTGCCCACAATGCGACGGTCGAGTATGCGAGTATGTGTGTGTGTGTGTGTGCGAGTGTGTGTGTGGCTGACACATTAAAGTGCGGCTTTAAATTATGATGCGTGGCATCCACAGATGCCTCGTCGCACTCACGGGAAGGCAAAGTTTTTTTTGTTCTTGTTGTTTTTGTTCATTTTTTCTTTTTGCCCATGCCACGTACGGCACATAGGGAAATGTATTTTTGCATCCCGGTCAGCCAGGCGGGAGCTGAATGCTTAACATCGTTTAACGTTTCACGCTGCCATTAGTGGTGCCACTGCCACTGCCACACCCACACCCACACCCACTCGCACACCCACTCTCACGCCCACTTGCATCGGCCTGTTTGTACTCTTAGTCAAAACGAGATGTGTGTGCCCTGCATTCGCAATTGCATGGTAATCGAATTATCTGGCAACTCTGCATCGGCTTGCCTCTTCTTCTTCTTCTTCTTGCCAAAATGGGGGCAATCGGGCGTCCAGCCATTGAACGGCCTGTGGAATTGTGCAGGCGGCTTTGGGCGATCGACCCTAAAAGCAGTGCAGCAGGCAATGCACCCTACAATCCATCAATGGGGCATATTGGTTGCGACATTTAGATGGAGGAGACGTCTGATATAAGGATTCGGATTCGAATTCGACGGATTGTAATGCTATTTACGAGAGATGGGCACAAAATAAAATGGATTAAATAAACAGTTAAGGTACAATTTATAAGAAATTCATGGAATTAAATAAAAAATGAAAAGATATAAGGCTCAAACTACGTGAGTTCATGATAGTAATAGTAAGAATATACAAATTAGAGAAGTCAAAAAGGTACTAGGTACAACAAATATGAATGTAAAGGTAAAATATATGAGGTAAAGTTATGTATTTATTGCAAGTAATAGCAATAATCTATAAAAGGAAATTTACAATATAATAATATAA